AAAACTATGTCCATCAAATAGTGGCAGAATATCCACCTGTGCCTGCTTTTGTATCTTAATTAAATCTTGAATTCAGCAAAGTTAAATATTCTGATTTGAAACATCTGTTAACTAAAGTGTAACTGTTAGTTCTATAAGGATTAGAACTATATTAACTCTTTCAGCACTGGTTCGGTCCCTGGGACCAACCTTGTAACCATTTTGTGCTTGTTATTGTTTTCATGCTATAACTTTTAAATTAGAATGCGAATGTTAACGAAATTTGGCAGATTATCAGTAAGCATTACAATGCTTTCATATGTAAAATAGAACATTTTTTATTGAGTCTTACGGTTTGTAAAGCACTGTTTTTCTCGTGTCTTTTTTTTCTTATCACATGTTGCCTATCTGCGAAATCTTTATAATGTTCAGATAGTTATCAAATGTTTCTCAAGAAAAAACTTCATATTTTAACTGTTATTTTCAGTAATTAATCTCTGTACAGGTTCAGTAGATTTGACCAGTCTTCCAACCACCATAAAAAATTAGGAAATAAATATAAATTTTGCCTCTTTCATTCTAGAATGAACACAAATCATAACATGAAAACATAAATGTTCAGACTAAATAGCTTAAATCTCATAACATTATACATTTATATATATTTATTATATTGACCTTTCAGCTATGCCTGGCTGACATTACAGAAGTTACAATGATGCAGCTCATGTGCACTCACGTTACTGTATCAAGTAACATAAAACTGACGTTTATTCTGTACAAAGCAACTTGTCTTGGCTGTGTTTTACTAGACTAGTATTTTGTAAAATATAGTCACATTTCAATTATTATACATATATACAAAAAAATATATTATTTCTATTTTGAAATAAGTTCTTAAACTTATTTTTCTTTAAACATAGAACACTAACTAAAGAAGTAAAGCAGACAATTATCTTTTCTAGTTACACCCTTTGTAGCAATATAGGTTGCTAAGCCTTTAAAAAATTTGCATGTTTTTTAAGTTTTATATATATACATTTGAATAACTAAAAGATCATAAATTATTACATTAATACCATAGAATTCCACTATAATTTATCAAGCTCAGTAACTAAGATGTATTTTAGTCTAAAAAATATGAAATTTCGAGCAGACTAAAGACACACCCTACCTCGTTGAAATACTGGTTCAAATAAAAGAAATGACCCCAAGCCCATTAAAATGGCTCAGAAAGCCACTAGGGGAACATTTTGAGCTTCCGATTGGTTATTTATGTCATATATAGAAGTAGGTGTGTATATAAGGGAGCATTTCCAAATATAGAAAGAGGTGGGTGGGGTGCCACCGTCTTTGATATATTACATGAACAATCTCAGCAAATTCAAAAGACATGACGCTCTTATTTTATATTCTAGCTTGTCAATATCAGTAATTTGAGTTTCTAATTCATACGAAACTACAGACTTAATATTTTGACTTCCCAAACAACTAATTTGAACCAGTGCTGCATTCAACATACCACATGACACACACACACACACAAAAATCAATGTTTACCTTTTTTTTTAATATTTGCTTTTAAATTAAGAAATTGATTAATATATAGTACTAAAATTTTAATTATAATCTACAGTTAGATACCAAAGTTACTGACATAAATTCATGAAATAGTAGTTCAATAAAATGTTGAATGCGAGTCAACAAACGAGATGACATGGCCTTTCACCTGTGACCCATCTCGAAAGGATTAAACTGACCATTAAAAATACGTATTTTTCATCAGTGTTTTATATACCAATGGATACTGATAAAAATAGGTTTTCAACATCATAAAATCACGAAAAAGGTTCACTAAATTCTTGAATCATGTAAGAAGTTTTACCTAACCTGTTCATCTTATTTTATAACATTTCTACACACACAAGTTGGTTTGAAAGGTCATATCATGCTACAAATCCACTTACAGAATCTACATGAATAAAAAAATAATGCCGTTTATGGTACAAGGCTTTGATAAGGCGATGGACTTGACGGACAGCTCGACCATTCACTGTGAGCAGGAAGACAATAGTGACTGGGTCCTGTTTCTGTGTATCTACTGCTGGCAATGCTTCATTTTTTGGAATCTCTAAAAGATAAAGATGTTAAACATATTTAATCTCATAAAACATAAATAACAACCACACAATACAAGAGCCATTTACTTACCTAATTAAATACATATAAAATAATGTAATAGATGCTCAACATTTTACTTCATGTACATGATAATTTACAGGTGTCTAACTTTGCATACATTATAATTCAACAGTACTTTGGTTTTTTACGTGAATGAAATAGGATTCTTTCATTCTCCAACTGCCAAAACTGTATGTTAACTCATTATGCATTTAAAACTATACTGTTGCTAGAGTTAATGGTCCTGTTTGAGAATTTTCAATTAATCTTACCAAAAATTGTGGAATTAATAAGAACATGGGCTTAGTAGTTTATCTGTAGAATAGAAACTCTGCAAGACTAGATTTATCCTGAAAGACTAAGACTAACCAATTTGAATAAAAATAGAAAAAAAATTTAATAATTCAATTTCATAAGCCTAGCCTAGAAAATGGTTTGACTGCAGTGACAAGGAACAATATTTTTCATTATAAGCTCATATTCCTGCAAAACAATGGTTGGGATTATACAATTGTTGGTTTAAATTTAATAAGTCAGTGCTGTATACTCACAAAATCAAAACGCATTTCAGCAGTAAACTTTAATAACGAAATTTTTTAGTTAAAAAATAAATATTAATCAAATTTATAATAGAAGAAATGAATGATTAAAATATTATTAGAATAATTATATTTGAATAACTTTAAATGCTAAATCTAGACTGTCATAAAACTGAAACCCTAAGTCTCCTACAAAATATTCTAAGCAAAACCTCACTTGGCAGACCAGTGCTATATACATTCATTGTTAAATATCCTCCACATGCAAGTGTTGTATTTTTTGGACATGCCATATCACAGCGAGATTCATCAATTTTCAAGTTTTCAGGAGGTGGTTCACTTCCACATAAACACTCTAAACTGTATTGTACTCCTGCAAATTGTAAACCTGTTTGGAAGCACTTCTTTACACACAATGTTGGAGTGTTATGGGGAAGTTTGGTGAGTGTTCTTGAGAGAATACGTTTTTCTTTTGCATCCTTAAAACAACCAAGATACTTTGCATTTTTTCCACCTGAGAACACAAATATATATATAAAAAAAAAAAGAAGTACTTTGAGAAAAACAAATTCAAGAAATAAAATAAAAATGTCTCAATAAATAGCAAAAAAACATGCATATATGAAAAAACAAAAGCTAAAAATCATCTGTGTTTATTCGGTACAAATAATAAATAACTGTCAGACACAAAATGAAACTGAATGAGAAAAAAATGATTAAATCAACAAACCAGGAATTATCAAATATAAATTTAGATTTACTTCTAACTTCTTAAAATATAAAACAGTTCCAGAATATCCAGCTTTTCTGCTAGTTCAGTTCAGTTTCTAATCAAAAATATTAGAAAATAACATATCAATTACAAGCAGACATTCCAGATTAAATGAACACTGAAACAAGTATGAGATTTCTGGACACTTTCAGACACTGAAATGTATATTTAATGAAACCAAGATGAATGAGAAAGTAATTAAGGAATGTGGTTACATACTTCATTTTATACGTTTTGGGAACTAAATTATATATATGTGTGTGGAATATGCATAACTTTTGCATCTTTTTTTTAAATTATATAAAGAAAATTCTAACTGTCAATAGTTATTTTTTTACATCATACAATTTTGGAAAACATGTGTAAACAATTACTTAACACCCAGTCTGGGGGATTAGATGAGTTACAGAGGGTTATCACAGTTTCCAGTATTCAGGTTACCCCCCCCCCCCAAAAAAAAAGTATTCCAATACAGGGCCTGATCTTTTCACCTCAATAAATCACACTTTACTAGAACTCCACCCTAAAAGTACTCATCCATGAAGATGCAGAGTTTAGGGAAGTTGTCAGACTGTGTTTCTATTGCACAAAATAATAGAAGTGCTCATGTTTAGGCAGGTACTGCACTTAGCCACCTTACAGCAGAAAGTAAGCTTCTTTGAGATGCTCATGAAAACTGTTAGAAAATGGCTTTACAAAGCCAAGGAACAAGATCTTGTATGGCACATGTGACACCACTACTGTGTTTTATGTGGGATATTGGACTGAGGCATGGATTTAATTCCCCATAGCCTGGAAACTAGTACAAATTCAGCCAGACTGGAAGACAATTCAGATTCCACTCACTGCAAGAAGTTCAAACCTTTATTCAGAATTTAAAAAATAGAGTCCTAAAAAGTTTTGCTTGGGAAACAACCCACCAAACATGTCTCTCTCTAACTTACAAACTGATTATTAAAACTAGATTGCATGTTAGGTAATCTGAACAGAAAGGAAAGTTTTCTTCAATCAAGCTGTGTCGTCATTTTCAAAAGAATAGAGGAATGATTAAAACAAAACATTTATGATAGTTTTATTCATTTTTTCTGGGTCCAATGTTGTCCTCATTTCCAATTGAAATTAAAATGAAATTTTCATGGGGGGCATTACATATGGTCCGGTTAATTCATTAGAATTTACTTTTACACAGAATATTTCTCAAATTTTTAAGATAATGATTCTGATTTTATATAATAAAATAAGTTATTAACCTGACATATTTCTATGCACACATCCAGTACATCTCTATATTTTCTGGAAGAATACCACATAGCTTATTGTCAAGTGATCATGACCGTAAAAATGCATTTCCAACAAAAATTTTTTAGTAAAAAGTACACATCCTTACTATTTAACAGTGACTTTTGCTATTATTTCACACCAATGACTAGCGAGACGAGTGACATTTATGTGCTTACATTGTACATCACACACATGCATGCAACAGGGAGTTCCAAAGTTTGACAAAGTCATATATTTGATTGTTACAAGTGATCACATTTTGATTTAAAAATTTGTGATATTGTTTTAAAAATGTATTTACTACTCTTCTGCTTGCCATATCACACCCAGAGAGAAACTTTTCTTTACTAAATTCCTCACGACCACAATTTGTTTTATCAAAGGTCCTACATCAGTTTTCAAATCTTTAAAAAAAAATCTTAGCCTTGTACTTGTTACTTTTATCTCCAGTTTTTCATCAATTAAATGTTTCAATCAAAAAGAGGAAATGTTATACAACAATGCCTTATCATCAATTTTACTCATGTGCAAGTTTAAAATCCATTATTTCAAAATGTGCAATTTAAAAATGCCTTATTATCTCCTTTACTCATCTTCATTGACACTTCTACAACTAAATAAATACATCTATTATACAAGTTTCATTGCAATGATTATATAAAGTATATTAGATATGCATTTTGTTAAATTATTAATGAAACAAATACTAATTTATAAAACATTTAACAGATGGTTATGAACAATTAAATACCATCAACTGGACAGTATCTTGGTAGTTGTATAGGGTACATCTTTCCTGCTTTGATAAGGCACGTGACATTAGCTATTTCTTCTTTACATCCTTGAGTTTTAGCACGATTGATAGCTGATATGGCATCTTGAGATAGTATTTCACACCAAGGCTTGAAATTAAGTTCATTGAGGTCCAATTTCATTGACTCATTCACATGTTTTTCAATTTTCTTGGATGTGTTTATTATACCACTAGGTTCCTTAGACACTATTAAGTTGTTTGACTCTAGTCCATCAGCTTTACTTTTCTGAAATAATAAATTCTCTGCATTAGGAACAATAACTTCACTTTGAAGTTTGCCTTGCTCTGCTGCTTTAAGGTCACCGTGTCGGTTACTACTGTCTTTAACGGGCTTATCCCAGATATTACTGGGCGAATCTTCATCATCTACCACATAGTCATCAAACTGTTGTGACTGGGATTGCTGCTTGGTCTGTTGATCAGTTAGCTTTAAAGAGGAAACAATTTTTGGTTTACATCATTTAGCTGATATCAAGTTATACAAAATCAAAATAGAATTGCACAATAAGAAAATATACAAATAACTTTTTTTAATTGTTAGCTCTTCCCTTCATGCTTTTTTTCCTCTGCTAAGCTGTTAAAAACAGACATTGTAATATGAATAGCACTATCACACCCAGTTAATTAAAAATATAAATGGCTATCATGAATAAAAAAAACAAATCAGTACTAGCATAATATTGTAATTCAGGCATCAAAAATTTAAAAATACTACTTTAATTAACTGGTCAAAAATAAATTAGCTAGATAGATCAGAGCATAACAGTACTTAACCATTTGTGAAACCAATCTTGTTTAATTTACTGATTAAAACTACTTAATATTACAAATCAATTCACAAAACACTAAAACTAATGATTAACTCTATGACTACCACCCAGCCCATAACCATCAAATTATCCACGACAGTAGTAATACAATAATTTTTGATAATGTAATGTAAATTTTGAAGATTATCAGTAAACATTACAAGGCTTCCATACACAAAATATCAGGTTTTTTAATTAAGTATTCAGATTTTTTATTAAGAATTACAAATTGCAGTCATTTTAGAACAAAAAAAGTGTAATTTGAATTTATTTCCTAATTTTTGATGGTGGTTATGAGGTTAGTTAAATCAACTAACATTGTATAGAGTTAAGGTAGAGAAAATAACAGATAAAATATAAATTTTTTCTAAAAAAAGGTTTGATGGATATTTAGGATATAAATACAAATGAAACTTGATAATTTTCTGGTAAAGAAAACTATTTTTAATCTTAAAATCAAAATTACTTTGCATGTTGGATAGTCAACATTCTGAAAGAAAATAACTCACAACTAATAGGAAACCATAAATGTTCATTTTAAATAGATCAACTTTTGTAACATTATACATCTAGTTATATTTATTATTTTTGTTTTACTGACGTTTCAGCCGGGTATGACTTACAGTAGTGCCACAGAAGTTGCAATCATGCAGTGCCCATGTAGCTCATGTCACCATATCCGATGACGTAAAACTAGCCCTTACAAAGTGCAACTGTCTTAGCTTTGTACTATTAGTGCACCAGTATCTTGTACAATGCAATCACATTTCAGTTATAATACATTACATATGTATATATATGTTATTACTATTTACACATAAGTTCTTAAATTTCAGTTATTTTTCTTAAAACATAGAACAGTAAATACAGAAACATAGCAAACAATGATCTCTTCTGCATATGATTGTTAGTGTTATGAAGTTTGTATTAGCTTGCTATACTTTGCTAAGCCTCATCAAATTTTGCATGTTGAGGATGTAAAACAAAATAACCCTTTTACATTTTATATATGCATTTTGAAATAGCAAAAAATTATAAGTTACTCTATCAATACCACAGAATTCCACTGTAATCTCTCAGGCTTACTAAGCTGTATTTGGATGTAAAAATATATCATATCTGATCACACACAATGTCTTACCTCTACTCTTTGAGCTTGGAAACATATAACAGAGAAAACTGAGTGTACATAAACAAGTATTTCCAAAAATGGAAGAGGTAGTGGTGCCACTGTGGTTAGATTCACTAAATACAATGATATCTCAGCAAATAGAAAAATAGGAGGTTCATATTTTACATTCAACCTTGTCAATGTCAGTAGTTATCATTTTCCTACACTCAAAATGTATTTCTGATAGGTACTTACCACTACTCACATAAATAGCTATAATTGTTCAGTGCTGCCCTCTATATGAAAAAAAATTATGCATCTATCTCCAATAAGAGTGCAATATATTCTTATGATGCATGCAACTCCCTCTATTCAATTCTACCGAACTGTCATGGCAGAAGATTGAAGTACCAGTTTTTAGTGGGAAAGAAGGGTGGGAAGCATGAGAGAAGGTAAATACCTATCAGAAATACATTTTCAGTGTAGGAAAATTATAACTTCCATTATGGTACATTACCTCCGCTCACATAAATAGCTAAAATCCCATATTTAATAGGTGGAGGGACCGGAGAGAGGGAAAGAAAGAAGCATCCTTTGAAAGTATCCAAAGGACACTCCCTCAGGTGAGACAGTCAGATGTGGGGAACTGCACCACTTCTGAACAAGGTATACTCTTTGCCCATCATAGAAAGTTGTCTCATATATGGGCAGAAAACAGAGGAGCACATCCAACTGGAAGATAACTATGGCCAAAAAGTGATCCAAACCATGCAATGTATATGAAATTCAATTCCAGAAATTATAAAAGTGGGTAAAATGAAAGGATGTACCCCTAAGTGTAGAGTGGCTGGGGCATGATGGACCATACATGGCAGGTCAACTATATCCAAAATCCATGACACTGGGAATCAACATCCACACAGAGGTAGGATGAAAATCATACCATTGGTAAGTCAACTACAATCCAAAACCTGGCCGCCAGGTACAAACATTCATGTTGTGGTAAGAAAGAGTATCATCCCACCGGAAAGTCAACAACAATCCAAAACCCAGAACACTGGGAACCGATATCCATGTGGGGGGTAGGAAAGAGGATTATACCGGTGGCAAGTCAATTATAATCCAAAACCTAGCCATTTGGTGGGGGTAGGAAAGAGGATCATACCATCTTCCTCTCAAGTTCATGAGACCAGAGGGAATCTAGTACCCCCCCCCGACTCATGAATGGGGCACATGTGAATATGATAAATTAATAGGTTGATCCGGGAACCCGATATCCAGTATTGAAAAGATGTTTACATAATATAAACCATCTCCCTCATAGTTGAAATTACATGGAACCACCCCAAGCAAATTAACACCCTTGGAATAAGAAACACTGAGGTGTTGTGAAAGGGAAAGAACCGTAACAATCCAAAATTATCTCTACCGTGATGCACAACACTGATGGATGAATATAGACATCTGTAATACATGTGTGAGGACTTATGTTGATTGGTTCTACTCTAAATTCAAAACCCAGCCACAGGGAACCAATATCCACATGGGGGTAGGATGAGGAATCCCAATTGAAGGGATGAACTACCATTTTCACATCTCACTCTCATTTGTTTTTATGTTTTATATTGGAGGATATCATTCCATCTACACCAGCAGAACACCACCACCCTACTCTGAACTAAATAGTTTTATAATCATTTCTATTTTATGTTTGTATTTCATTAACCCATTCAGGAGAATGCCTCCACATTCCACCACCCCAGTGGCAAGGAAATGGAAAGTGATGAGAACTCTCTATCTCCACTAGAAGAAAAATGGGGAATAAAATGCAGTGGAGAGTCTGGAGGAACGACAACACCTGGGACAGTGCAATGGGTGACCATGAAAAGCAGACCATACCAATTTATACAATACAAGGCATGGCAGGGAAGAGCAGCTATCCCCTTCTGCTTTACATTGTAGTCCATGGGTGGGTACAGTCTGTGATGGGCAAACTTATGAAGCAATTCTATTGCGAGGATAAACCTATAAGCAAAACAGAGAAATCACCCCATGGAGAACAAACCGAGGAGATGGTCACGAATGATGAGATATACAGATATGCAAATAAACATTCGCGCCATTCCTCTTTGTCATCGATAAACCTGGTGAAAAAGCCCACCAAAGAGTCAGAAGTGACTCCAAGGTAAAATGGGGCAAATTGAAAATTAGAATGAGGTGGGCCAAACCTAGTACAGACTGCCAGTCTCCAGTTTGGCATGAGAACAAACAGCCTGGAAAAAAATGATGAACAGGTGCAACAGCCTGTAGAAACAGAAAATCTTGTACCTCCTCGGACAGACACAGGCTGGTGGCAGGATCCCGAGTCATGGGGAAGGAAAAGGGTATCAGGGACAAAGGAGGTGGGGAAAGAAATACTAGGACAAGTCCCTCTGATAAAACCCAAAGAACCAATGGAACTGTAGTGAAAGATTGCCAAAGGGTAACAATATAATATAGTGAAGCTCCCACTGGATAGGAACCCTCTGGTTAGTCTCCAATATGCCCATCAACATTAAATAAAACAATAAGATGAGAAACCCCTGAAAGGGAGACAGGGATGGGTAGATATGGACCAGGATGGGAAAGGAATAGGGGCAAGTCATGGCTCCAACTGCAACAAACATGCAAGTAAAAAGAAAAGGGTTGAATGTTGATGCACAGATCACACACAAGATTCCAAAGTCTCAGATACATGATCGAAAACATATCACCAAATAAAAGATACAGAAATCCCGATAAGAAAGAGGCAGCAAACGTACCCAAGACAAGGTCACATCGTGACCCAGAAAATCCCAACTACAGTGAAACCACGTGTGTAAAGCAAGAGCTGAAGATGACAAACGAGCCAATATGGAGGTAATAATGAATCATAAAAAAAGGGGAATTAGATAAAACACCTGAGAAATAATGTCAAAAAATGCCACATTAGGCCTAGCTGATTCTGCACGGCAAAATCCAGTGGTGTAAAAAGGCTATCAAATCGTCATCAGCCAGAACAGGTTTGGCTTGTTCAGGAGAAGAAGATTGACCATATACCGATCATTCTCATGATGGATAATAGCAGAGAAATCCAACAACAGGTCTCCCCCCAACTGCAGCCTGTAAAAATAGTGTAGAGTTATAACATCCAAAGTGGGAACATGAACCTCAGAATTCATTGTAGAAATATGTAAATCAAACAAAAGTGTTTGATGTAAAACATGCGAGTGTGAGAGAAAAAATAAATACTGGTAAAGGAAGTTAAATTAAAAGATTTCTTTAATGTAAAGAAAAAATCAATAATGAAGAAATCCCACTTCAGAAATTCAACATTTAAAATCATGATTCACACGAAGAGCACAAAATGAAAAAACATCTAAACACGAGTACTGCCAGATAAGAAATGATAGTTCAGTAGAACTGAGTACATAGAGTCACATGTCATGGAGGGGAGATATGTGGCATGTGTAAAAACTTTTTTGCCCGTAGAGGGCAACACTGAACGAGAATAGCTATTTACGTGAGAGGAGGTAAGGTCTGTATCGAAAATTTTGCAAGAAATTAGAGATGTTATATTTTGGGCATCATAAAATGAAATCTGACAAAACATACCACGTGACACACAAAAAATTATATTTAGCTATTTTAATTTAAGAAATTAACTAATGTATTATGCTAAAATTTGAATTATAATTTACAATCATAATCTACAAACATTCATAAAAAAGCAGTTCAATAAAATTTTGAATGCAAGTCTACAAATGTGATGACATGCACTGTGACCCCTACCTGTAGTGATAGGGTTAAAGTACACTGAATCATGAGTTGGGTACCCTCACTATCAACAAGATATTTGCTCATAATCCAAAAAAAAATTCACAAGTTTACACACATACATATGTAAAACTATGTTTAAAATAAATTGCATCTGATTGGACACCACTGTGACTCACAAGAAAAAACATTTATTCACATCTGTGTGAGATTAGGCTGAATTCATAAACTAGTATCAAATGTATACATATGGCTAAAATACATGCAAGAGTACATGGCTGTGCACACACATTACATATTCTAAACCACATAAAGCAAGCCCACAATCAACATAAAGTCTACACTGATGAAACTGAAAGCACAAAAACATACTGTCCCCCTTTAGATCCACATTTGTTTTAGAATCATTCTCAATGTAAAAACAAAGCAAAATAGCGGTTATCAAAATGTGTCTTGGGGAAGCCCTATAGGCCTAAATGCTTTTACTTTTCCTATGAACTTATAAAGAGAATATCTATTGCATCAATTTCATGTTAACCATATTGATTTCTGTACCATTGCTGGAACCAAAACATTCCTCATATTAATAGATATTATTAAATGGCAACCTTAGTAACCTTAAATGGATTTCATACTAATTTTCTAACACAACGAAATTTTTAAAACTGTAAACCTAACACCTTTAAAATTTGGGTATTAATTAAAACATTGTTTATGCATTAAATTATATCATTTAGTATATAAATCTGCCTTTTTGGGTTATGCAACTCATATTTTGTTTTCGTTTTTTTTTGGATATGCAGCCAAAAGTACAAAAAGTTATCTTCTGCTCTAAAATGAGAGTTAATTAGGTTTGTGGCAGGATTTACAGCTTCACTAATAAAAATATGTTTCCAGCAAATTCCTCCAGTGCACTTACATAAAAACATGCAAAACAGTTTTAAAAATAAGAAAGTATATAAAAATTCAAAAAAGCAGCAAAACCAAATTTAATGTACCCCATGCTTCATATCCATATGGATTTATCTAACCTAGAAATGATTAAGCAGCTTAAATTAACAGGATGCGATAAATTATCTCATAACTTTGTAACTCCAACAGAGAATTCTAAACAGCACAAGAATGCTACCAAAAAATCTCTAAGTCTTTCTGCATTACATTTGAGAAAGCAAAATATGATAATAATAATAATACAACTAATCTTATTTTTTCTTTCAATGAAAATTATATATGTTACTTTTTTTCATCTTGGTCTGATTGTTAATAACTTAAATACTATAATTTTTAACATCAATACTGGTTTCAAAAATAGTTTAGACATACCTGAGCATTTTCTCTACTTCTATCCAATTTTCCTCTCCATTGTAAATCATCTTCTACCACTCCGAAGATGGTGTAAAAGCTGTATGCAAGAAATCCTTGAACAACAAGGATAATTCCAACTATGATGAAAAACGGTCTGTATCGTCGACACCATCGTGTCTTGAACCCACTTGCTGATACTGCCATTTCCCATAATGAGTCAGAATATTAATGAAGATTAGGAAGTTCACTTGATTCAAAGTATCAAGTGATTTTGTTAAAGCTTGTTATGTCCAATTGCATTTGATATATGGTATAACATTTTCAAATTTTGAAGTAAAAATATTATAAAATGGTCATTTAATAAATCTTTCATTTCATATACAAAAAAAGCTATATGTAGCTTCTTTACACCTTTGAACAATATAAGAAAAATACATAAAAATAAAATGGAAGGTTAACCAGGGTGTATCCAATGCCTTTAGTGTTGAACTAGAAGCTTGTTCAGAAGTTTACAGTCATTCCAGCCAGACTAGCAGCATTTCTATAATAGATGCAGAGAAGTATCAATATCTTTTTCCATGTAATCATATTGATAGAAATTCATTGTTGTATATTCCACCATCAACACAAGAGTTTCTAGAACACTAAAGAAAGAAATAATATAATAGTATTCATGAAAGTTGTAAAATACAAGTATAACAGATTACATCAAATATCTTAAGATGTAGTCAGTATGAAGGGTTTAAAACAGCATCAACAATGAGAATAGAAATTAGATAAATCACTGCTATTATTTAGCAACAAATTTTTGAAGCAAATTAAAGGTAAGCAAAATGTTAGAATGGGAATTAGGCCCTATAAGGATACTGATGGCAAGGTTTTTTTTCTTTAAAAATATGAGACAGCTGAGTTTTTAAATGTTCTCTTCAGTAAAAAAATAGCAATATTCCTGACCCTGAGTAGTTTGTGGAAAATACTGGGATTAACCTAAATCATGCATATATTAATCTCTTGGTAGTAAATAGTAGGATTTCGAGTAGAAAAAACACAAGGGCCTGACAAAGTGTTATTCAGGGATTTAAAGGAGATCAAAGATATGGGAGCCTCTCTTTCACTTTTGGCGAGTCAACACACAGTGGGAAGACACTTGATATTTGGAAGGTTGCTTATGTATCTCCTATTTTTAAAGAGGATGATAAGAGTTGCCCTGAAAACTAAAGGCCAGTTAGTCTTACTTCTGTAGTAGATAAAGTTCTAGAGTCAAATAATAAAGCTTGACAAAATAATTTAATAAAAGATGTCATAAAATAAAGTCAATATGGTTTCACTAAAGGGAAATCTTGCCTTACTAATATATTACCATTTTTCAAGGACATTATTTCAAGGAAAGGGTGTGGACATGGTGTACTTCGATTTTCAAGAATTTGTAATCAGTTGCCACACAACAATATTAGCTAAGAAAATCGTATCAACAGGTGTTGGAGAAAAAATAGTTAACTTAATTGTAGGATAGTTGGATAGGAGAAAGAAAAAAACCCTGTTAACTGAACTTTTTTTACCACTGTTAAGGGATGCCATGTGGGTTAACCAACTCACTTTTCGTATCTACAGTAATAATATTGATTCATGTATAATTAATAAATAGCATAAAGTAACGTTTAGGCACAGCAAGGAACCTACTGGTTCATCTAGGCCAGTGGTCGGCAACCTTTTTTGATCGCGGGTCAATTATTATTATTTTTTTAATTTAGCATTGTGTTGGGTCAGTGATAATCATATAATTATTAATACTGGTACATGTATTTTAAATGTGTATGTTTATTTACATACAAAAAAATTAATAGTTCGACCAGTTTGATATTTTTCCCTGAAATTATCTTAAAATTCTCCGTAGCCGTGACTCTTTCCAATCTTTCCTTTAATATCGTTGTTCTTCTCACATAGCCAAGAAACTTGAACTGAATAATGATTGTGCCCTTACGGGTTGCAATGGTGAAGTAAACTTTTGGCGGGTCAGCCAAATTATTGCCGCGGGTCATAGGTTGCCGACCACTGATCTAGGCTGTCCCATTCTCTAAACTAAATTAAAGCTATTAAACAAAAGAAATAATCAAAGCCAGACATTATCATTCATATATTTATCTAGCCTTCTCTTAAGCTCACTTAAATTTACTGCCTTCACAACACCTGAAGGCAATCTGTTCCAAAGACCGACCATCTTGTTACAAAAATAAAACTGTCTTTACTGAAGATGACTCCTACCCTGCCAAAATTTATATTTGTATCCCTAGTTCTACCATTCTCACCATTAAGTATGAAGAAAAGATGATGTATCAACACTATCAATTCCCTTAACAATCTTAAATGCACCAATCAAATATCCTTTTAACTATTCTTTTTTCAAGAGAAAACAATTTCAGAGATCTCAACATTTCCTTGTATGACAACCCCTCCATCCCAGGCACCATTCTAGTAGCCATCCACTGAACCCTTTCCAACAATTCAACATCCTTCTTGAGGTAAAAGAGCTTAAGACTGAACACAATATTCCAAATGTGGCCTAAGCAGCGACCTATACAATGAAATTACAACCTATTTAGACTTGTATTCAATATTTCTGTAGTTACAACCTAAAATCGTACTTGCCCTACCACAAGTAACACCATACTACTTGGATGGCTTAAGAGACTAATCAACCACTACAACATGATCCCTTTCTTTCATAACACTGTTAACATTATTTCCATCCAAATTAGACTTATAACTCAAGTTATAATAACCCACATGCATTATCTTGCATTTATTACAATTAAAATCAATCTCTCATTTATTTGCTCAACTCACTAAATGATCTAAATCCTTTTGTAAAGCAGCAGCATCTTCCTCACAACCAGCAACACCCAAGACCTTAATATCATCAGCAAATTTAAGTAACTTATTGACCATTCCTTCATCTATGTCATTGATTTAAATCAAGAAGAGCAAAGGTCTTAAGACTGAGCCCTGTGGTACCCTACTTGTGACATTAATCCAGTTTGAATGAACTCCATTTATAACAACCCTTTGCTTTCTTCCATCCAAATAACTAACTTATCCCCCACATCTATAGAGATAATATTTTGAGAAACCTTTTATGTGGCACCTTGTCAAATGCTTTCTAAAAATCCAGATATACCAATTTTTATAAGGATAAGTATAAGATCGTCAGTATAAGGATAAGTCTCTTCATTTCAATCATCTTAAATCCAGACAGGGAGCAAGTGTCTATACATGTATCTTGTGTTGTTGCTGTCAGTATGGTGTGAAATGAATTTCTAAATGAGCTTTGTAAATTCTTTAGTTTATCAGACAATTTTGAAATTAATATAATTCCTTGTCCTTTTCCATTTCTATTTGGTGATGTGTACATTTTTCTTTCTATTTGTCCAAAACTCTGCAGAAATGAGTAGAAATGTGAGAGTATTAAAAATGTGTAAGTACTGCAAAACAAAGAAGAGCCAGAAAACAGACAAGAGGTGTGCATGAATGAGAGAAAGAATGAATTATGTAACCAGACAAAAGAAACAAGAAGAAATTTTTATTCTATTTACTGACAAAGCAATGACAACACTGATAGAACAAGAATAGCATAAAGTTCAAAATAATAATAATTTGTTTCAACTACTTCAAGTAGTGCTACACTATCAGAGGACACTTAGTTAAAGATATTAAACTGGTGACCATGTATTAAATACATGTATACAGCCAGAATGCACCATAATAAAGAAAAATACAATGTCATACTATGTAGCATGGCAACTAAAAAGAAAAATGATTCTGAAAAGAACAAGAAAGATTGATTGATATGCTTTAGCCCCAGTTGCAATATCTGAAGAACTGTACAAACTAGCATAAAATAACTCATTAGATATGATACCATCAGCCAGGGTTAAGATTGCAGCAAAGACACTAGCAATCTTATATCAATGCTTGCCAAACTTTTTTTTATAGAGTTCATCTGAAATTTGTTTCATGCTCTGAATGGGTAGAAAATTTTGCAGGATTATATAACACTTTTTCAGCAGTCCTATTACAAAAATAGTCATTATGAATACAAGTCTAGGCAACATTTAAGTGTACGGAATGAATGGGATTTCCTCTTCATTGTGCTATTTGTTTGCCAATTTGCCTCGGCTCCTATGCAAACATTTCACTGTGGGAGGTCAAAGTTTCCAGATGTCCGACCTCAAGAACGGAAGGGTTATTTTATGAACACAGGTTAAAATCTCTTAACTTACTCTTAAGAACAGAAGGATAAGAGTTGATCTTACTGAAGAGATTATCCAGGGAACCAATAGGATAAATACCTCTACTTTCTTTCTGCTATATTCTAAAGACAATAGGATGAGAGGATATTAGTTTAAGGTTTGAAAAATGTAGTCTAAGTTCCAGTTAAGACAGTTGTATTTTTCTAAAAGAGAGACTGGCTTATGAAATGAGTTGCCATCACAAGTGTAGACTGACACTTTAGAAAAGTTCAAAACAAAAATCAATACTTTTTTTTTTCAAGGGTTGGTGTACAGGAACAGCAATGAAAGGGCAAATTTTTATTTGCTATCTTTATGTTAATATTGTCATGTAGTAAAAGAAGAAATAGTTCTTTTTTTTTCATTTATATTTTTTATGGAAGAAAAAAGGTTACTGCAACCTTTAACAAAAATAATGGTAAGACTTAAATTGGAACAGTGTTTGCAATTGTGTCTTCTTACTACAGGAAGAATATCATAACGTTGGAAAGAGTTTATGGACTAGCTGCAAGTAGATGGTTCTTCGTCTTCAGTCATTTAAGTAATGTAAGAAGATTGTAAAGTTGCAGACTTTAATTTTTCAAGTAAACCATTATGCAAGAATTAGAGAATAAATTCTGATGCTTAAAACTGAGTTATTATTTTGATAGATCTGTTAGTAAGGCTGAGTGATATACCTATCAGACCTACTGTTTGGATAGGTGTGCTTCCAGTTTGGTTTTGTTGTTGCATAGGAATAAGAATTTAAATGGTTACTTTTGCAGTTATTCTAATTTTGTTTCGATTTCGAATGTTTATGTGATTAATATTATAATTTAATATTAATATTACAGGGAAAGGGGCCTGTCATATCACTTTTTTATTCTTTACGTAAGTGTTACTTTTCTTTGCAGTGTTACTGCTGTTAATAACACTTATTATATTCACTATCACTTGCTAATATTTCTAATAGTAATACTATATCTAATATCCTTTCTAAGTTTCTTCATACTCAATACCTCTCACATTTCAAATTCCACTTCCACTCCAGATTGAGTCATACTGTTAATTCAGTTAGTAAAAACTTACTTGTTAACATTACATTTCCACTTTAATTTCAGAGAAATATGTTTATAACAAGAACGTGTAATTAAAAGTTAAAGTTAACAATACTTATTACTTACACTTTAATTTTCGTACAGCCTATTTAAATATTTTTATTTTCACTATAGATCACCGTACAACATACGGCACTAAGAAAAGTGGACTAACACTTGTCTTGCTTTGCCCTCTAGTGGTAAGAAATAAATTTGCTGGCGTTGAGATTAAAGATCTTTTTTTTCAAGACTAACTCTGAGGGTGTATTTGTGTGTTTCCAGGTTTGTGTTGCTTCGAAATCTGTGAATCAATATTGCATCGGCATTCCGAAAGATTTTTGTTGTTGTTGTTCAAACTTTTCTTAATGATAAATTATTTCACTCGAGTACATTATTTTGTGAATTCAAAAATACTGACATTATTAAAACGTTTTGAAATGTGAATGAAATGGGTTATGGCATAACTTGTAATATGATCAAACTATTTATTTGTTGACAAATTCCGAATGAATATTGTTTTTTCAATACGAACGACTTAAAGAAAAAGTGATCTTCGGCAATAACTCTACACTCTTATTTTAGGGTATTTTAAAACGTTGACTAACTTACTAAATTTGTTCAAAGTAAATATTGCCACTTATTAATTTGGGCGCTGGACGAAAATAATATATCTTAATTTTATTTTAAACTAATAATTTACTGGCCTGAAGCAAAGTATGTAACAAGTAAATAGTTAATATACTGTATTAGACTTGATTATTGATTGTTGTGTGAATTGTAATGGCCATTACACTGATAGTGATACAAAAGAGTAAATTAGGTAGGTTCTATGTATAACGGAGACGTAGCAAATAAATTGTGAATAAGTATTGAATTCAACTAACGGAATATGTGCTAATAAATAAATGGACTGGACATAAGGTGTGTTGCACAATAACAGCAATCTTTATTAAATTCACAAATCAACAGCATGTGCACTTTATCTGATGGACGAGAGACAATTACCTATATAACATATTGAAGTTATGAATTGATCAGGCTAGTTCTATTTCTTCAAAACTTATATTGAAACTGACTGACTTACTCAAGAAGATGTCCAAGAATGTCTAAATCTTATGTTAATTGAATCTGCAACAACAGACTTACCCATAAAAACTACCACACCCCACATGACAGGTCAATTCCCTTCAATTAAACACAAAAGGGGTTGTAACATAGAGGTATCACCTGACCCCTGCCATTAGAGGACACTGTTGTTGACCTTCACACAAAAGGTGCAGCTTTAAAGCCATACCTCTCATAAGAAGGACAGGTGTTACCTTCAAGAGAATGACAAAGTTTGTTACAATGAAATCAACTTAACCTTCTTGAGCATCTATTAATCAGAAACAGCACATACTTAGAATGAATAAAAATTTTTGGTAAAATTGTACATTAGGTAAAAAATCATGGTATACCTGCAGTCTACATATGAGTGCTGTAAAAAAATTGAAACTTAGAAATTAGAAGTACATATAACTCACTCTTATTCCTTTATGATGTTCAAAGATAAGCTTAATTCTACTGAAACCTCTTGCAGTGATCAATAACAAAAATAGTCGATACAAAGTTCTTTACAACATTTAACACAACAATAGACAATACAAGGTAAACTTGTCTCCTCACATTCACAGTAGCAGAAAAAGCTAAGGCCAGTGAATATTTGTTTGAAGAAGATTAATATGGGAGTAAAAAAGTCATGTACATAACCTTATGATATTTAATAATTTTAATATAAAAAAAAACTTCAGCCCAAGAATAATTGATAAAAAAGGAAAGGCCTTTTAGATTAGTTTGTAAAAGTAGTAAAATTAAAATCCAGGAATAACACAATCTCTGATATTTTCAAACTTTATTATTGCCCAAAAAATTCATACTGCAACTATATGAAGCTGAGAATTATTATAAACAAAAGGTGAATAATGGGGAGAAATGAAATTTTTGCATTAAATATTGCAAACAGTACTACAAAAACACATTTTTGTTTTCACATTTTAGATATTATATAGCACCCCTATAATGCAAATTACTCGTCTGTACAATTAAATAAAAAATAAAACTGTACTCTCAGAGATTAAATTGCTTTATCATGATTAATGTCAAAAATTGCCTTTCAACATGAAAAATGTGCAACAAGTTATAGGTATGAATGATGTACATATTTTGGACTTAATATTGGATAGATTATGATCTGAAAAGTTTGATCTATATCTAATTTACTGTGGTTTAGGCAAGATGGTGAGAATGAACGTACTGGCAGATGCCTTAAGGTCAATAAATAATGCAGAAAAACGAGGGAAACGTCAGGTTCTTCTTCGTCCCTGCTCAAAAGTTGTTATCAGGTTCTTGACAGTAATGATGAAACACGGTAAGTATAATAAAACATTTGTGTGTTTGGGATTTTGTAATAATGTATGTATCAAAACTTTAAACTTAGTTACAGATCTTATAATCTTCAGATCTTAGAGTAATGTAGATCTGTTATTTAGTTTTTAATATTTATGACACTACTGCTACAGATATATCACACTGTATTGTAGACTATTTGAATATTGTAAGCAAGATAAATCAGATAACAGTCAGATTTTATATTATTAGGATAAAATTAAGCTTTTGACTTTAATCTTATTGGACCATAATAGAATTTTATTTCATGATGTGCATACTCTGCTTTTTTAATTTATGATGGTTTTGAACTACTTTAACTTGTAATAATGTTTCTACAGTTAAAAAATAACAGATGTCAGAGCTCCTAAAATACCATATTTAAATTATTCATTTATAAACAGGTTACATAGGGGAATTTGAAATTGTGGACGATCACAGAGCTGGTAAAATTGTGGTCAATCTGACAGGCCGTCTTAATAAATGTGGTGTAATCAGTCCTCGTTTCGATGTACACCTTAGAAATTTAGAAAAGTGGACAAGCAACCTCCTACCATCACGACAGTTTGGGTAATGAACTAAGGCTCTTCTTTTAATATCTTGACTTGTGATTTTTGTATTCTATAAAGGTGATAGTTCATGCATTTAAATTTGATTATGTATTCGAAATTTATATTCCTTGTATATTTTAATGCTCAATTTATAATATATCATTCAGTGGAAATTGTGAATCATTTTCATGGTTAGTAGCCTTTACAATTACCTGAGTCTAATAAATAATTAGTTTTTATCTTATTTTTTGGCTCAAAATGTCCTATCATATACAGGAAAGTTTTAGAAGTAATATTTCTGCGGTGGTAGTGACCAGGAATCATTGTATCCACTTATCTGGGGTCTCCCTCCTTTAGGAATTGAATCATTTAACTTTTTGTGACTTTCGTTGTAGGTTCATTGACTGTGCTAACAGTTAGGTGGGTGTAGAAGGCTTCTTTTATCATTTTTTCTTATGTATAGACCCATTATTTTAGTACTATTCCAATTTATTGTATGATCTTCATTGGCATGGTTAGTTATTGCAGAGAGATCAGCATTACAAAGTCTTGTATGTCTGCAGTGCTCCTGAATTGTAACTTTTATTGGTCTTTTTGTTATTTCAATGTAGTGGAGCATTTACAGTGGATGCTGTAAATGATGGTATTGCTTTCCATTGGATTATTACACAGTTTGGTGTGTACTAACTGTGATCATATTTTGTTGTGGCTTCTGAATACTGTTCTGACTTTACACTATGTAAATATGTTCTGTTATGTGTACCAATCACCTTGAACATTACCCATGGTTACAGTGTCTGTTGATAGTATTGTTATGGTGTTGTCTTTCTTTAAGTTACAGAGGACAGTTTTTTTCTTTTAGACTGGTATTGTAGTGGGATTTACATTTCATGTTTTCTAAACTACTGGCATCATTTTGATTTTGAATTCAGGAAGAAAAATACATCACAAAAACCCTTCTTGATAATAGATACTCAAAACACTTGATAAAAAAGATAAACATCATGAATAAGCATGAAGAAACTTTGCAGACACACAATCATATTCCCCTATATCACAGGTTTCTCCATAAATGTACAGAAGATTTCTCCATAAACATACAGAAGATATGTAGGCAGCAGAAAGTCAGAACAGTATTCAGAAGACGCACCACAATAAGGCTACAGTTGGTTCATTTCAAACAACCTGAAGACCTAATGGAGAGGATAAAAACACCATTTACAACATCCATTATAGATGTGTACGCCAATATCTTGTAGAAGTAAGATGATCAACAAAAGTTTAAATTCAGGAACGTAATAGATATACAAGACTGTAATACTGACTTATCATGCCATTGAAAGATCAGACAATAAACTAAAATAATACTAGAATTATAGGATGTGAACTACTCACAAGAAAGAGAAAAATGAAAGAAGCCTTCTAAGTCCATCTAACTGATAACAATACCCCCTCAACCTAGCATAGAAGTCAGCAAAACCTGGATACCCCTCTTGATAGCATTCAAATAAGTTAGTTGATTCAAGTTGTTTTGGTGGAGCTCCCAGACGAATAGATACCTTACCAGCTCCTTGTCACCACCATTATAAGCACTGTTTCTCCAAAGACCTCCCTGAAGACAGCAACTGGTAGGTAAGCTATAAACTAGTTAGCAATTAATAGCTAGTGGTTATAGTTAGTATTTTTCAGCCAAAAATATTGTGACACTTTTAATAATTTTATTCAGTTGAAACCATTTTAACTCAAATTTTTAATTTGTGAACAAAATAATGTTATTTAATTTTGTAATATTTTCAGACCCATCTGAACTGGAATGAGTGAGCAGTCTGTTTGCACAGTTTTTTTTATTGTTTGTCACCACCATTAATCTGAACACAAATGTACTTGATTGCAGTTTAAACATGTGTTCACAGTACTCATTTTTTTAAACCCTAAAGCATCTGAGTTAGATAATAAGTATTCCAAAATAATTTACAGCAGATAAATAATTTTTTTTAATGTAAGTAATTTACTACGGAACAGTGAAATCTTCTTTAACCAAGTTTTTAAAAGAATGGACTTTTCCTTAATAACTTTTTATGTAAAGTTAACCAGCAATTTCCATTGAATGAAGCAGTATCTTAAACCTGCTTTCAGGAATTGTGGTTCCAACTTTATTCTATTGTCTAAAGTTATTCAAGTTATCTACATGTTAAATCACTAACAAAGTTCTGCATATACAATTTTTATAGTTTTGATGGAAGTTTTTTTTCAAGCTCTTGTATTTCAAAGATGATTTTGTTATGGTATACTGCATATACTGTTGTGTTCAAGGTACTGAACCTGTTTTGTTGATATTATTTTTACTTGCTGGCAAGATGTAGACTTTTGCCAGATTCCAAGTTTTATTTGACTTAACACTTAAAGAAACATTTTGTGATTTTTTAAATAGTGCAGGAAAGTTTCAGTGACAGAAGTAGTAATTGAATTAAAGAAGTCTGTAATTATGAGAGTCCCTTAAATTGTAGCAAGCAACATAAAGTTTTTTTTAATACCTGCCAATATTTTCTCAGGTACCTTGTGTTAACAACATCTGGCGGAATTATGGACCATGAGGAAGCCAGGAGAAAACACTTAGGTGGGAAAATTTTGGGGTTTTTCTTCTAAGATTTTGTAACAATTAGCAGGCAAGTAATAAAACATGTGCCACAAATTTCTTGTGCCTATTCCATATTTTCTACAGAAGATCAATTTCATGTGAATGTTGTTTCTGGCCAAACTAAAATCCTTTTCAAACGGTTAAGGTAACAGTTGTCGAGAGGGACTTGTAAGCTACATTTCATTAAATGTTAATCCAAATTTTTTATATGTATTATAAGCAGCAGAAATCTTAATTGTAAAGTTTATGAACTGAAGTAGGCATTTTAATATTTACCTAAGCTTTAATGAAGTACAAAAAGGTGTGTTATTATATTAGACATCCTATAATACAGAAAAAGAAATATTTGAGTTTAAACTATTTTATTTTTTTATGACTAATATAAAAAAAATTAAGAACTATAAAAAGCTATCCAGTAAACTGTCACACCTCTAATTTAAAAGCATTTAATATTTTCTCTAGGTTGGTTGACAAACAGTTTTGTTTAAACATGTGAATTATTGTGGTATGTAATGCCTCATGTTGCAAAATATTATCTACTGATTGGTAATTAGTGTGACATTAAATCATAATAAGATGAATAATAATGTTTTATATATTGTTCTTTACTGGCCCTATACTATAGGCTTCGATAAGAAACAATAGCATCTCAACCTCTCACAAGGAGCACACCATGCCAATGAGGTCCTTCTCTCAATACCAGATCTCATCAGTATTGATGTGACAAAAAGTTGTCTTTTTTAAATTGTGTGAAAAAAATTTCTTCAAACCAGGAAATATAACAATCATATTTCTTCACCGTGAAGTCTACTTATTGGTTTTTATAGACATTTAAAATCATGACAAAGAATGTGAAAAAAACATTTCAAGGTAGCTCAGTAGTGCTGATGATTACTTGCAGTTACTTTAAACTGTCAGTTAAATGTATTTTACCATAAGTCAAATTTTCATTTAACATATTACTTTCAGAAAGATTTTTCCAGTCTGTTAAAACATTCTTGACAGATGCCTATTTCCTGCAACATGAACTTAAGAGATGTGATGAATTATATATCAATATGATAAGTTAAGTAACAATTACCATGTTTTGCTCATAGTACTGCTGTAAAATACATTTCTCATCATTAGCTTCTTCTTTATTTTTATCAATTGATGTCACATTTGGATAAAACCATAAAAATTCTATACAAAAAGTAGCACAGTATTACAATTTTTAATTTTATAAATTTAAAATGAATATCAAATTGGCATGGAAAATTATAGTGAACCTGAGTAGTAATTAAAAATGTTTGTGGACCAGAATAAAATACTAGAAAATGATTTGTTAAGATGATGTCGAGATAAAGTATTGGAAGTTTTATGGATGGCTTATCATGCTGTGATGTTAGAAATACAATGAAGAGCATGCAACTGTGTGCTTTGTGAATAATTTAGCTCAGCATTTCTCAAACTGGGTTCCACAAGTCATGTTCAAATTTTCATAAAAATATTTTAAAAAGTCTTTTTTTTTCCTAAAATTAAATTTATAGGAATTAAAGCATTTTATTACAGAATATGGCTTTTCCTGTACACTGCATCTTTTTCTTTCAAAACAAAAAAACGTTAATAGGTTTGGAGGTTTGCAAAAAACTTTTAAATTAAAAGGAGTCCTCTAGTTGCTAAAATTTGAAAACCTCTCTTTTGACCAACTTAGTTGTTAGCTTATAAACGCCACATCTATCACTTCATTGCTCTTTCAAACCATTAAATGAAATGAGAACTGAGATTGCATCATTCAAGGCCAAGCTACTTATTTGGTCAGAACATTTGCCCATCAAAGAAAATTTGTGGTTTGAATTCCATTGTCTAAGTTTTAACTATATAAAAGTTCTATAAATAAAGTATTAGGCATAGCATCGGGATATATATTTTTTGTTTTCATTAATGATAAAAAAAGATGTTTACATTTCATCAGAAAATGGGCATATTTAAAAACATTTCAAGAAATACCTTGCTTCTGAGAAGTAAGATTTGGTATTTGAAAATAAAATTATTAAAGTTTATATACTTTGTAAATAGAACACACTTCAGTCTCCTAGCTGAATATTTTATTTTTGAATAGGTCATTCATAAAGCTACAGCTCCGAGAAGTTATGCAGTTACAAAAAGTCTATTTTACTTTGGTTTTACAAAACCAAAAATAGCCAAGATTGTAAGTGATTGTGCATCAGCTGTGCTATAATTAAACCATGCCTTATTTTTAAAAAAAGAATATACTATTGAAAAGCATGGGGTAGTTTTTGAAATCAATAATGCATGTAGGCCATGAGTCAGTAGCAATCCATTATATATGGTCCACAGTAAGGTACATGTCAAATTTAAGAAAGACATTAGGTTATAAATATAAAATTATAATGCCACATTTCATAGTTTTCCAGCACTAGATTTAATTTTCCTTTGCCATCAAAATGTAGTCAAGGTTCAAAAGAGGGTTCACACCTGGTAAAACCTATCAAAGTGCTAATTTCCTTATGTGCTTAGTGTATTAAAGAATTGTTCAGTGTATACTATTTTAGTGTATACTTCATATTCAACAAAATATTTAAATGTAGAGTATCCAAAATCTAGTTGAGGTCATATGCTACATTCAACCTGAGGTGTTACTTTCTGTAGACTGTCCAGTCAAAGAACTTATCTGTTCCATGGGATAAATTTTATTGCATTAGGGTTGTCAGCGCTCCGAGTTTGCTGGCTCCAGTGGTTCAGCTCCAAGTTGGCTGTGGAGCCGACAGAGGCCATGTTTCAGTTCTGGTACCTTTACTTGGCTGTGGCTTGGGAGCAATAGAACTATATGGCTAATTAGGAGAGTATTATATATGGTTTTGTTATGTTGTTGCTTAGAGTTAACAGTCCATAGAATTAAATGGGCATTCAGTAAAAGGGATGGTAAATGTGAAATCTGATTTTAAAGTTTTATACATTTATTTTTACAAACGTTTCAGTTACCTTTTCAACAAAATCAACATGAATATATATATATATTATGGTTCATACTAAATTGCTCAGATCAATTTCAAGCACTTTTCAAGGACTTTCTAAGCACTCTGAGAATGTTTTTCAAGCACTTTTTGGAAGCTAAAATCAATCGGATTCCACTGTAATTTTATAAAATTCCTACTTATTTGTTAATCATTTGAATGTAGACTAAAAAGAAAATAATGATTTTATTTAATTGTGCAACATGCATTAAAGTTAAGATACTTCCATGATAAAATTTTAAAAATAGGCTAACAAGTGCTATATGGTTTCCCTGTAATAAAAAAAATAGCACTTCTTCAACCACAAGGCCTTTTACTCAATACCAGAACTCATCAGGTTAGTTGGCCATGCAACACCAAACCTAAGATGAAATGCTATTCATGATATATAATGCCTATGTTGGTGGAGCAGGATCTTTTGATTGTTAGTTTGTGATACTATATCACAGTAAGACTAATAATATTTTACAAATCTTTCCACACTAGGCCTATATGATTTCATAGTGAAAAGAATAAAACAACATTTCAATCACACACCTGATGAGCCATAGAATTGAGTGAATGGCCTCTTTCGCATGAGATGCAGGTTAAGATGCTCTTATATTATACTCTTCTAACAAGAGCTTAACCTCTTATGATGTAGAAGCCAAGTTATTTTGTAAGCTTGTGATGAATGTTGTTTACCAAAAAACATTGTTCACTTTTATACATTCTAGTATTTCAGATTTTAGAGTATTATAGCTTCATTTATGTAAGTTCCTGTTTCAAGAAGACTTTACTTGTGGTCTAACCTTGCAGTATTAGACACATATAAGTTCATAAACGTAAAAAAACAATT